CAGGAATTTTGGAGGAAGAAGGCGTTTAGCAACAAAGGAAATGAAAACTTGGCCAGTTGGCTTTGAGAGTGGAATGAACGCTGAGAGAAGTTGGGAGGGGAATTAGGACTGAGTTAAACAATTCGTAGTGGCAGAGTTGTTTGGAGGATATGAGAGCTGACAAAAGCTATAAAATGAGATTTTTAACTGGGATACAGACCTGTGCTTTGGTGTGAGGGTGAGTCTTGTGTATTTGAAAGGGTGTAGGAGAAGATAGAGGAACACAGAAGCTGCACTATAGGAATGAAACTGTTGGAAGTGTATTAATAGTCTATGTATCCTAAAAGGATCTTCCTCAGAAAACATATACTGTATTCATAGCTTTGTGTATTAATTAAATGTTCTTTCTGTTCATACAAAGGTCTAATTTGTATTTGTGCCATGCTGTTTTTCCATTAATCAAATGGAAGATTCCTGTTAACTTCGTGACTTTTAAAACTAGAGCTTTGTGAAAGGAGGGGAAAAAATTTACTAGACAATAAAAAGTGATTTTGTGAGATGATTAAGCCAGTTTGGGTTGACAGCAGTACTGATTTAAGCTCAGATATTTCTGGCAGTAGAAACTTTTTTAAACAAATATGAATTCATAAGTTGGGCTCCAAAATGACGTCTAGGAACATGAATATGTGGGTAACTGGACAAAAATCTGATTGAAATTAAATAATTTCCTTTTCCTGAAATGCCACCATGGACCTGGCGAACAGTATAATGAGCAGTTGTGTAGGAGGCGTTTTCAAGTCTAATGTTTGGGTGGATTCTTAACATTCAGGTAACCCTCAGATAAAACCACGTTATCTTTTTCATGTAACTTTAATTAGTTGCATTAGTTGGTTTACAATGGTTTTATCTAATCTTTTCAGGGTTTTAACTAAAAATTAGGGAAGATTCAAGTCAGCATCTTGAAAGTTTTACCAAACAAAAATCCTCTACTTTACTCCACATGACATTTAAGCTCTTTATGATTTTTTAGTTCAAAACCAAGAAAGATTTATACATTTTCTTCTACAACATGAGGAAAATTGTGTTTAGTAAAAGATTGAGATTCAGGCTTATTTTGTGTTGTCTCTAAAAGCAGGAATTGTCATAAGAAAATGAACCGAAACTACAGAAACCCAACCTCCATTTTTATCTTGGATATTGTATGCTGCATAATAAAACCACAGGAATTAGATTCAAGTATTTTGATTTTTGATTTTAATATTTTAATTTTAAAGCAGGTAATATGCTGCGAGTGGGATTGCACTGATTTTGTTGAACTGGCAGAAAATGCTGAATGAGTGTTGTTTATACTCTTATCTTAATGTAATACCTACCTTGAAACTTCTAGTTATTCTCAATATTTTAAATAGAATTTGAGTAATATTGTGTTATGTATAGCCTCTCCTACTACATCTTTTTTATAAAACTATGTCCTTTGTAATGTCTGATGTGTGTTTTATCTTTAATTCTGTTAACTAGAGACACCTTTTCCTGGAGATGTTCATTCTTAGCATTGGCTTAAGGACTGTTATACATACCACTTTTTTTAATGCGCACATTTCTATGCTAGATTAATAGGAACATTGAGGTTTTCCTATTTTAACAGAAATTTTCACAAATTGCTGCAAGTAGCCCATTAAAATCCCATAGCTGTTTGTTATAAATCCAAGACCAAGTGGTTCTTCTAGTAAATTCTGCAGGGTCTCTGATCTTGTTCTTTGTCTATAAATCAAAGCAAATTATCAAGACGATATGCTGGACTAGGCTTCTGTATCCTCATCTGTTGTCCTTTGCTACTGTGAACTGTTGGAAAGAAAATGAAAAACTTGGACAGTGAATGTCCTGCTTAAGATGAGAGATTTTTATGTCAAGGTGGAGATGTTAGTACTTCAGGCTGATACAGTGAGTAGTGGCCTTGCTGCTTTGCACTAGCAATCTTCTGGGATAGTCCCATGTGATGTTCCTTAGTGTGAGATGAGGATAATGTCTTCTAGGAAAGATGCTCAAAGGTGCATGTAATGGCAGGAAAGCATTTGCAATAAAATTTTAGGGATGAAAAATTTCTTTCCAAGAAAATGAAATGCCTTTGTTGGAAATTTCTAAAGCAAGACCAGATACAGATCCTGGAAGAGGTGTTGCAATGTGTAGTGCTCCATGGAAAATTTGGCAGCCGGACAGCTGGTATCTTTATCTTTTCAGTTATTACCATGTAAGTTAGTTTTGGGTTGATTTTACTTCTGTTGTGTGAAATAATCCACAGACGTTGCCTGCAAGCAAGCTCTGTATTAGGACTTTAAAACCAGGAAATTTGTTAGTTGTGTGGAACCTGGCTAGATAATTATGCTGCTTTGTCTTCAGAGCGTACTTGGCACTGAGTGCTGCGTTAATTCCAAGTAGAGTGTCATTTTATTCCTGGAAATAAAGTGGTGCACGAATAAACAAGAGGTCATAAATTGTCTGTGCATTTTCTAATTATGTAAAATTTCCTGAATTTTGTCTTTAATTTTTTCAACAGGATTGATCGTAAGATGTCAAGTGCTCATACAAATTACAGACTGGATGAAGCGCAAGCTATAATGAGTGAGCTTCGAACCATAAAGAAAGCTATATGCACAGGTGAAAAGGAAAGGCAGGACCTTATGCAGGTAAAAAAAGTGCTGCTAAAAAGTAATAACCTACCTCTCTTTTCTTGTCTGTGATTGTATTGGGGTTACCAAGTTGAAGTAAGGAAGTTTTGTGGCCTAAACGGATTTTTCTCTGTGGTAATTGCCCATAGCGGGCAGCTTGAAAGAGGCAAGTAGCCATTGTATATGCTGTGAACACAGAACTTAATATGAGGTTCATGTTTTTGTGTTAGATCAATGTCTTTACAGAACATAGCTTTCCGTTGCTGCTGACTGTATTAAGGACTGCTGTGGAGTAATTATGCTGCATTTCGAAAAGAAAAAAAGTCTTTTAAGTTTTATAGTATTTGTTTTTCATTTTGTTTAACATCTCTTTGTATTACATATAATGAAGGAGGACTGAGAATTCATGTGCTAAAATATCTACCAGTTTTTCTGCAATGGTTTTCCTTTTGTAAATGTTTCACAAAACCGGATCTCCCTGTCACTGTGCCGCAGTTCAGCAGTTCTCCTTTTTTTTTTTTTTGCCCCAAGCTCTCCTCTTAAATACCCGTATCAAGATATGTGTTAATTTCAGATGTTCTCACAAACCTCTCTAAGGTGATTAAATACAACATGTAGAAAAACCATCATGCAAACTTTAAATTATTTTAAGAATCAGAGGTTGAGGATTGAAGGGAGATGCATGCCTGAGTAGTCATCTAACTTGGAATGGATGCTGCATCCTGTTCTGAGCCCTCGGTTGCTTTGGCTGCACTGTTAATACAATGGGAGCTTGAGCACAGAGCCATGAACCTCTGCCACCACAGGGACTTTGGTATAGACTTGCCCAAATATGCTTGCCCAAAGGATGACAAGGATGAGTCTCTTCATCCAGTCTTCATACTGCTATATATAGTCTTTTTTTACTTAAATTTTTGGGACCACACTAAGTTAATATTGCTATTCAAGCATTTCTTTCAGTTTTGTCTGCGGCAGCAGTTGACTTTTTTGTTAAATTACATGGATAGCTTGTAATCTACGTATAATGAATTTCCATAGTTATGCAATTATTCAGTCTCCAAAGCGTTACCGAAAGGTCAGCTGATGGACCACAAATCCTTGTTCAAGTAGACAGAACACTTAAGTCACTATGAAAAGTTTCTGCCTTGGCAACTGCTAACATATTTGATATTTTGTGTTGGCCAAGTTTTAAAGTGATTCTCAGTCTTCCACATGCCTGGCTAGCAAGAAATGATTAGAAAGGCAGTTCTTCGTGGATGCAGTGACGCACATTTTAGGAAACTAACTGGTAATTTAAAGACTTGTGTGTGAAATCTTGGAGCAGCTTAACTACTGGCCTTGTTTTGACTTCCCCATTAGATATTTTTTGTTTGCCTTTTCCTTACATTTTTGGTCCTCAGTGGCACTAAATCCAGCTGTAAACATTGAGATGCCTCAAAAATCATCTCTCTTAGACCAATTTTAAGTGCACTTGCAGTTTCTTTAAATATGGTGTCGAGGGAGTTAGAAGTCTAGGGTCAGGCTTAGCACTGAGGACTAAGCAGTGCTGCTGGCAGCACCAGAAGGTGGAGGTTGCACAAGAGAGAAGCAAAAATGTAAAGTGTTACCATCCTTTTTCATGGATCTATGTAACATACAGGAAATATCAGTCTAGAAGGTATCATTTTTGTAATTAATAACAGGCTGTTTTAATAGCATCCAGTAATAGACATGTAGTCTGGGAGAATCTAGAAAATAGTTGTGCTGTACAGGCCTAGCGTACAAAACAGTTCTGTTGCATTTTGAGGTAAAGTTTACATAATATACAGTTGTAAAAAATGTGTATGTCTGCCAACTGATTGTGCTCTGCAAAAATATCCAGCTTTCTGCTATTTTTTAAAAATTTAGATCACAAAAATTAAATTATTTCTGTTGTTAACAAAATTTTCTGTGCTTTGCCTCTTCTTATAAATAGTTGAGGATTATTGTTACGGATTTATTTAGCATTGTCAAACAAATGCCAGTATATTTTACATACCTTCCTAATGAGCTCAAAATTTGATTTTTATTTTTATATCAATTTTGAAATTTTGTCCTTATATGCCAGATTTTAAAGCTATTATTGGTGAGACAAATTTTATTATGAACAACCTTATGTTTTGAAAGCTGTTTACAGAGGAGTTCAAAGTATTCTGTAGGTAGAGGGGGATTTATTTCGGAGAAAGGAAATAGACAATTTCTTACTATTTATTAATTTAAATTTGGCCAGTGTAAGCAACAGAACTAAACATAGTAGAAGTGACTCAGTCTTGTGTAGGTGCTTGGAAAATTATAGCTGTCATAGAAATATGATAATTGGATTGAGTTGTGGGAGAGAAGTCTGACGAGGGAAGAGGAGGGTGGTCAGATTTAAACTGGTTACAGATAAAGCCAAATACGCAGTGTCACTGCTCCAAATAAAGTGGGTAAACTTTATATAAAAAGGTGAGTAATCAAGGTGCCTGGTTTGGTTCCTGAAAACAGCGTTTGTCTTTCTCCCCCCC